AGCTCTAAGTCAGCTTATGGTGCTTACAAAACACAATCTTAAAATTAGTCGAGTTTGGGCGTTTCAAGTTCGTGCTTTTTATGTTCGAACATTGTTTGTGATCTTTCATTTGTTAGTTGAGCTAAAATTTGTGTTCAGGCTCGTTTGTGGAATTGCTCGTTAAAGTTTGAGCTCGTTTGTGTTCTAACAATTTAGTAATCGTGATTTTTAAGTTGTTTGATTAACAGGAGTTCACGCTCTACCAAATAGTTTGAGCTCAAAAGTTAAAAAATATTAAAAATAAAAATTATATATATATATATTGATATTTTGTTATAATATTATACATGTATATAAAATATAAATAAATATAAGTTGAATTATTGTTCATGCATTGTCAAATGTTGGTGTAGGCACGCATGTTCGTTTGATTAACAAACAAGCTGATGTTTTCGGTCGACTTCTGCTCGATTAACAAATATACGAGCTAAGTTTTGTCGCCAATGTTTCATTTGTTTACACTTCAATTAGAAATTTACGCAATTAAGAAAAAAAAAAAAANNAAAAAGACTCTTGATAAAATTTTTATCAGCACAAAAACCCCTTCCGTGTATTTGTTGCATTAAAATGTTCTAGTCTATCATTCATTTTTTTTATAATTAATGTTGATACCCAACTGGGTGTCGATTAATAAAATTGCTACACGTGGATATGTATTAAATAAATATAAATATAGCAGGTTCTCTGAGCTTATTATTTAATATCGACCGAGTTCCCAAGTGCCCAGATGATCCACGTTCGAGCCGAGCAGAACTAATATCATCAGCCCGACCCGAATATCGAGAAAATCCGTCTCTGGCAAACACAATAATTGCCGATAAAGTAGACGTCAATCGAAGTCGTCAAGTGTCACGATCGAGTCCCACGATGTCATCTCACATTAAATACTAGTGTACTCTTTTTATCTATTTTTTAATTGATCCACTTATTGAAAATGACGTGTATATGGGGCTAGGAGAGATAAAATGGGGGAACCTATTCAATGTTCCTCCATCTTATACAAAACAACAAAAACCAAGAAAAAAAGGTAAATCTTCATCTTCCAAAAATCAAGAAAAGTACATATCGATCCAAAACACCGATTATTCACAGAAATAGGGTGTATTTTTACGTTGATACAACTTCGCATATCAACAATTAAAATATGTTAAATGGATTGTTCTATCTCTCATTTTAACTAATTAATTAATTTAATAACATGAAGTCTTAATCATTTATTGAAATATCAAATTTGACACATGTAAAATTGCNCCCCCCCCCCCCCCCCCCCCGCCGGCTGGAGAGGATGAAGTTCGCTATTGGGGACACTCCCTGGATGGACGGTTCACGACGCGGTTGGCCTATGCGGCTCTTGCGGTTCCGTCGGCTCCTAGGCGAAATAGGTGTTGGTGACTGATTTGGCGGTGGGTGGGTCCACATCGGATCCGCCATTTCTTGTGGCTGGCGTTTCGCGACAGTCTTCTGACTAACGAGGCGCGTCAACGCCGTCACCTGACCATTTCATCCTGTTGTCCGGTTTGCATGGCGGCTGATGAGTCCACGTTGTATGTGTTGAGGGATTGTTCTGTAGCTGCGACAACTTAGCGTAAGTTGGTATCTCCAGATGGGTGGGCTGCTTTCTTCTCACTTCCCCTGCAGGCGTGGGTATGTGCCAATTTGCGATGGTCCAGGGAGATGATGGATGCGGCATCCACATGGGGATTATACGAGGGATACGAGAGCTGCTACATCAGTCATGGCATGTGGCTTTGCAGCATGGTTATCGCGAAGCAAATTTTGTTGCAAATTATTTGACCTCCCTTGCAGCGCAGGGGTCGGGCGGAGTTCAGCGTTTGGACGACCCTCCCTCGGGTGCGAAGACTTGGGCCCGCTCATGATGTGATAGGAGTGTCATATCCCAGAAACGTGTTGGTCTCGTCGTAATTAGGTTTTGCCTCATTCCCTTGTACCGAAAAAAAAAAAAAATTAAACAGCATAAAAACAACGAATAACTTAAAAACAAAAAGTCTAATATAGCAAGTAGATGGAAAATAAGGATGTATCATGTATATAATTAATACAATATTACTTGTAGCAGTTAAGAAAGCATTATTTGTGGCATTTTGTTATAGTTGTTATTCAATGTATGTGGAAAACCAGAAAACAGACTCATTTGTTCGCATTTGTTAAGTGCAGCCATTTATGAGCTTATCTTTTAAGGGCTTATCCATCTGTGAAGATGTTAGTTATTTCATTTAATTTATCAAAAAAATAATACAAATTTATCAAACTACAAATAAAAAAAATATAAAAAGTAACATAAAATTAAAAAAATAATAGCAATAATATTAAGAATTTATGTCAATAAACAAAATAAATAGTAAAAAACTAAAAATTATTCAACCAAAAAGAACTTTGTTTGTCGATACTGACCAGGCTAATACTATGGAACAATTGAATTATGGATTAGGTTTGAATTAGTTTCTTCATTGGGGACGTGGACAGTAAATTATAGTTTTACACAGTTTGGTAAAAGTCACCATCAACGTTAGGGTTTATTGGTTACTAGACAAGTATTAATACTATTTTGTCATATATGCCTGGTCTATTGAAGTGCCAATATGGGTGTTTATTAAAAAATTATTCTTAAATTATAAAATTAAATATCTTTTACAAAAAAATATATTATTATATATTTTAGAATATTAGTTGTTATTTGCGCGACTTACATGTGTTATATTATAATAATTTTTCTAACTTATACCATATAATTACTTTAAATATAAATATATTATTTGATAAATAATTTTATTTTTTAACTAATATTAATAAATTATTTTATTATTATTATAAAGATAAATATAATTTATTTATTTAATACATACCATATCGATGTCAAATCGAATCTCATCAAGAGATGACTAATTTGATATATTATATGTGTAAAACTGATAAAAATACAACAGTTATTAATTTTTAAAATACATTTACCATTCATTGGATATAATATGAAGTGATATTAAAATGCAATTAGTATATCTAAAGTGATCATAAATAATCAAAATGTTTATAGATAGTCCGAACCTAATTATTTTTGATTTAGAAGTAAATTAAAATCTATCGAAGCCAAATAATGATACATATAATTTTGTCACGTAGGATTACGAAACATGCGAGCCTGCCACTTAGACTCAACACGTCCTGAATATATAAGGGGGAAGGGGGATTTGGGATTGATTGGATATAAATCAAAATGACTTCTGATTAGATTTTGAATTAAAATGAGTTATTTTTATATAAAGTTGATTTAGTAAAGAATTGAGTGAGATTTTGAGTTTATATTTAAATAATATTTTAAATATAATGATTAAAGTCAATTGAAGTAAAAGTAGGAGAATCGTTATTGGAAATAATAGATAGTTAAAAATATATGAGTAGATAAATTGTGAATTAAATTTGATTCGATATTTGTGAATAATTGATTGATATTATTTAATCATATTGATAATATTGTAGACAAATAGTTGGATTTAATTTGAGTTGAATATTAAATAAAAAATATAAAAAAATTGTCCAATCAATCAATTCTCACCAAAGTCATGCTGACCAAGATTTTTTTAAAGGACAATAATAATAATAAATAAAACCTCGTAAGATATATTTAGACGGAGTGGTCTAAAAACCTCCACACAAAATGGGAGTCAATGATATAAGTATACAACACAAGCACTCCAATTAAAAACTCTCACAAGGAAATATTAATAAATCATTTCTATGAAGAGAAACTAAAACTTGTGAAAAATAAATAATCAAATATCGAACTTGTGAAAAATAAATAATCGAACCACAACGCAACACATAAAAATTAAACTAAAATTTTTTATAGAATAATTGAAGCGTACTGAATTACATGGTTCTACTCAATTTTTCAACTATTTGCTTATCCATACATCCAAATGAACTATAGAGTTAATATTGTGAACAGTGTACACCCAATCATAACTTCTTCCATCTTTGGAACAAAAAAAATTTAAAACACAGGTAAATACAACTCCCGCTCTCCTAATGGGCTCAAGTAAATAAATTCCTGGCCCATTCCATGGGCCCATTATCAGAATAAGCAAAGCCCACTAAGTGAATTTACAAAAAATAGGGTTATATTTAAGTTAAAGCACGAGCATGACCATATTATCGCAGCAATTCCTTTCTTCTCCACCTCTGTCATTTTGCATCTCCCAATCTAACATACTCAGAAGAAAATTTGCATATATTCTTTATTTTTTATTTTTAGAATTTTAATTGTAGATTTACGATTTATACGTATAATCGCTACTGCTTGTGTCTGCACCGTACTTAGGTTCTGCGAAAATTCTAACATTTTGCAGAATCCAATTATTGTTGAAGTGCAGAAATTGACTATGTCGGGATCCGCTTTGCAGCTTAAATTGTAAAGATTTTTATAATTTTTATTAATATTTCTGCTGCCTGTAATGCCCGAATATTTGTCTATATTCAGTTTGTTTGTTTTTTTTCTCCTAATATTACTTTCTGGAGATTAATTTGATTTACTGATTTATCAATTTTTTAATTATAAAAATAAGAGTTGATAAATATATTAATCTTTTTCATACACTATTCGTCCAATTATCTAGCGACTTCACCTTATTTGTACTCTTTGTTTGGCAAACAATCATTAAGACCTTGAATGACAATCATTATGCATTTTTGTAATTCTTGTGACATTATATTTGTTGAATGGCCATGTAAATTGTCTCATCATTATGAAGATATGTGTTTTTTATCAAATAGAATGAAAGATGATAAAACATGCTTTTGAAATGTGATCTCCCATTCCCCAGTCACAATTAAATAACACATGAAAAAACTAATCTAGCCCAACAAAATGAAATGTAATACATGATTCTAATTTCACAACAATATAAAAATATATATATATATATATATATATATAAATATAAATACAAGGTTTAGCACTATCTTCTTCCCCAAAGCTAAACTTAGACCAAATTTTAGCCAAACTAGACCTTCTAACTTTTGTTTTCAAGGTCTAAAAACTTCAGTAATTCCACAGGCAATCAAGGTCTCCCTGTGCATCGAAAATATTTCGAAGCTCTCGTTCCTCGTAAGACTTTAACCCGACTTGTTGAAATGACAAACCTTCGGCAAATTCGGCACCATTATCGAGCAAAAGCTGCAACACTGTCTGATCTTGCATAAAAACCGAATCCACATCTTTCGTACTCTCTCCAATAGATACTTCACGAGACGATAAAACCGAGCCTGAATTGTTAGAAACTTGATGAATACTAATCAATGGACGAGATTCAAAACTACAACTTCTCGAGCTAGAAGTAATATCATGAACCAATATGCCTCGAGGGTCCACCGTAGGCTTGGTGAAGAAGCATGTTGCGCGTGATGACTCCTCAGGTGGATATACAGAGCTCGTGTGATTCTCGTAAGATGACACATCTACTAATGGAGGTAAATCGAACGTTCGTGAATCATCGCCAAAATTCACATTACTCACGAGCCCCGACAAATTGTGTGTTTTCTCTTCTGAAGCCTTCTTGAAAACTTTGCATATAACCCATTTATTCTGAAAATCCAAGGCCAAAAAAAAAAAAAAAAAGAAAGAAAGAAACTGAATCATGATAAACAAGAATCAATAGAAAATTAAAAACAGGGGAAGAGTAAAACAGAGTACAGAAACAGGGGAAATCAAGAATCAATATAAACAGGGGAAAACAGAGTACAAAACAGAGGGAAAAAATTATATACAGGAGAAAGTTGATTACTTTATCATTTTTGGGGACATTATGCAGATAATGCTTGCCCTCCAATCTAAATTCATGCATGACCCAATTAGTTTTTGTTCCTTTCAGGGGTCGCCCTTCGTAAAAAACAAGGGTTTTCTTCATCCCGACTAAAATATTCGACCGGAAAATCTCCCTATCTTTGCCGGTCGCCTTCCAATATCCGGCAACGGTAGCTCGGTTGGTTCTTACACTGGTTGGGTACTTCTTATCCCTAATACAGAAAAAATACCACTCTTTTTCTCCGATTTTCGCCTTACCTTCAAACCCCAAAACACAAATTAGACTCATAACATATAATTTCACAAGAAAAACAAAAACAAGGTCACAATGTATGTAAAATCACGATTTCATTTAACTTTTTAAACTTACTAGGCAAATCCCAAGGCTCAACTTTATTGAGGTCCACCTCACCTATAGCTACCGAGCTAAAGCTATTGTCGATAACTTTCCGAGACAAGTAATGAGTGATAAGCTCCTCGTCTGTCGGATGGAATCGAAAACCGGGAGGCAACACAATCGACTCGTTTTTCGCGTCGAAATCGGGAAAATCTCTCATTCTTGAGAAAGAGAGAAAGATAAAGAGGTCTCTTAGCAGAAATATGAAAGGGTTTAAGCTGAGAATGATTTTTTTTTAAGGAACAAAGTCCATAAATAGCTGTTTTATGGAGGAGACATTAAACTTTCTGGCTTGAGTTTTGTTTCTACTCATGTTGTTATGAGTTTGGCCTTTTATGATGTAATAATGTGGTTTATGTCTTGTTATTGTCTTCCTTTTACTGACCTCAGCACCTTATCCCCCCTTTAATCTGATCTAATGTAACTAAATCTCACATTTCTTTTGCCATTAAAGTTTAGTCTCATCTATTGAATAATGTGAATCTTTTATGAATGAATTTGGTATGGTATTATTACTTTAGTAGAACACGAATGATGTTGTTACGCTGTCTAACCGTAAATATAAACTCATATTATGATTGATTTTTTTTTATTTTTTTTTATTTTTTTTATTTTTATTTTTTTTATGTTGTTTGAAATATTGCATTCCAGCAAGTGTATATAAATTGAATAAATATGGTGTCTTAACAATTACACATGGTTTATCAATCTTAGTTTTAGTATCTTTGAATTTTTTGTTAGGCAGTCGTACTATATCACTATTTACATAATTTCATACTTATATATCATATTTTAAAATATACTATATAGACAAAATTATGGCATATTATCGAATCAATATGGATTTTTTGTAAGCAAGTCTTATTGACTAACGGTTAGATGGGGTAACATTAGCTATTCAATCGTACTCAAGATTAGTTAAATGAGCTAAATTTCTTTAGCCAGTTGACTCTCATG